ACTACTACTACTACTACTACTACTACTACTACTACTACTACTACTACTACTACTACTACTTCTACGACTACTACGACTACGACTACGACTACGACTACTACGACTACTACACTACTACTACTACCACTACTACTACTACTACTACTACTACTACTACTACTACTACTACTACTACTACTACTACTACTACTACTACTACTACTACTACTACTACGACTACACTACTACTACTACTACTACTACTACTACTACTACTACCTACTACTACTACTACTACTACTACTACTACTACTACTACTACTACTACTACTACTACTACTACTACTACTACTACTACTACTACTAGGCGACAGGGCTTCGAAGAAGCCCTCTGGCCTGCTCAGAAGGCAGGAGGCCGTCTGAGGTCTCCAGGAAGGCAGGAGGCCTTCGGAGTCCTCCAGGAAGGCCCGCCCCCTCTGCCCTCCCCCCTGGGAGCGCCGCCGACAAGGAGAGCTCGAAGGGAGCCAAGCCCGGCGAGACGAAGCCAGCTGGCACGATCCTTGTCTTCCTGCCTGGCTGGGGCGACATCGACCAGCTCAAGAAGCGCCTCACGCAGAGCTTCGACCAGGAGCGGTTCAAGATCTTGCCGCTGCATTCGCAGGTGTCCGCTGCCGAGCAGCAGGAGATCTTCGAGCCAGCAAAGCTGGGTACACGCAAGATCGTGCTCACAACGAACATCGCGGAGGCCTCTATTACTGTGGAGGGCACCGAGTTCGTTATAGACTCGGGACGTGCAAAGGAAGTGAGCTACGACCCCTACCTGAAGGTTCACGGGGACCGAACAAAAATACGAGTACTTTCGTGGTGCATCTGTTGACCTCCTTCCTCGTGACCGCCTCTCTACCAAGAACGGGGCGCTACAGCTTCGTCCATTCATCTTTGAGAGCCGTCAGTGAAACTAACATTTACCCGGCACGACGCCCGTTTGGATTTTTCTGTCTCCGAAATCAAGTCAGTGCAGTTGTGAGCATTGCAAGCCAATGCAATGCAACACATTGTTTGGCGTTGCTCGGCGTTGCTTGGAGTTGTTGCTTGGCATCACTTGGCGCTGCGTCGCATTCCTTGGCATTGTTTGGCAATGCTTGTTGGTGTTGGTTGGTATTGCTTGGCTTTGCTTGGCATTGCTTAGCGTTGCTTGACATTGCTTGGCATTGGCTTGGCTCTGCTTGGCGTTGCTCGGCACTGGCGTTGCACTCCTTGGCGTTGCTCGGCATTGCTCGACTGCTTGGCGTTTCCTTCGCGCTGCTTGGCGCTCCTTGGCATTGCCTGGCGTCGTTGGGCATCGTTGGCTGGCAGTACCTGGCGCTGCTTGGCACTGCGCTGCCTTACCTGGCACTGCTCGGTGTTGCCTGGCGCTGCGCCCGGGCAACGCCAGGGGCCTTGGCATCGCTCGGACGTGTGCATCTTTTCCTCCGGCGGGGATTATGAAGGAGCATCCCTGATCATCTGGCGAAAACAACCACGCACGAGAAACCTAGCAAAAAACACAGGGAATGAACGTCCGAGCGATGCGGAGGGGCAGCCTCTGCCGCAGGAGCCCCGGGGCAGCGCCGAGCAGCCCCGAGCGCAGCGCGCCGGGGCCCGCCTCCCCTCTGCCGATGGGGCCCCGCACCCGCAGAGGCTCGGCACATCGCTCGGACGCGTGCACTTCTCCTCGGCGAGGGCCATCGAGGTTCAGCCCCTGCCGCAGGAGCCCCGGGCAGCGCCGAGGAGCCCCGAGCGCAGCGCGCGGGGCGCGCGCGATGGGGCCCCGCACCCGCCAGGCTCGGCACATCGCTCGGGCGCGTGCACGTTTCTCCGCGGCGAGGGCCGTCGAGGAGCACGGGATCGAGTCGGGCCTGTCCCTCTGCAGGAGGCATACAGTCGGGGCGCTGAAGAAGGAACCCTTTTCGTTGGGGAGGGGCTCCGTGTTCCTGCAGTGTTTCGCAGCTTGCCTCAGGTTATCCTGATGTCTTCGATCGGAAGTCGAGGTTTCACTTGTGGAAAAAAAGGGGCCTCGTTCCTTATTCAGGGTTCCTTAGGTCAACGCCCCGACGGTAGTCAAGAATAGTCAAAACATAGTCTGGGGACCATTTTTGGGCAATTTTGGCTACTTTTGAATCTTGTTGAGATCTTTCTCCATTTGTGGCCCACAATCGCCCTGTATCGGGGGAGCGTAAGACCCGGGTTTGCCAGGACTCGGGTTCGCCATCGTTTTTTGACGACCGCGCCTCGGATTTTGACGAGGAGGAGTTTCGTGGGATGTCTGCGGCGGGAGGCCTCGTCAAAATGCAGGCTCGGCCTCGTCATTTTTTTGACGACCTCGTCGGGGATCTCCGAGTCCCCTGTACCCAGGTCTTACGTCCCCCTGACTGTAGGGGGACAGGCCCGACCTCGGCACAGGAGCGCGTCTGCGCCGGCACTGGCGCGCAAGCTGCCCGCGCAGGGGCGCGCGGCAGGCGCCCTCGCTTCCAGCGCGGCGCGCCGCGCGGGCGGCCTGCCTAGGCCGCCGCGTGAGGTCGCGACGACGGCTCGCGCCAGACCCAAAAGAAGGGCCTCGCCGTCGAGGATCCAAGCGAGGACGTTCTAAAAGAAGGGCCTCGCCTTCGAGGGTCGTCGCTCCCACGAGGCCTTCCAAGAGAGGGGCCTCGCCTTCGAATGATCGAAGGAGCTGGCGCCGCCTCCGCGGCGGAAGGTCGGCGGGAGCAGAGCCAGGCCGCCTCCGCCGGCGGAAGGGCGGCGGAAGGCGGCGGAGGTAAACGTTTTCGTCCCTTGTCCTCGACCTCGTCGTCCTCCTCCTCCTCCTCCTCCTTCTTCTCCTCCTCCTCCGCCTCCTCCTCCTCTGCCTCCCCTCCTCCTCCTCCTCCTCCTCCGCCTCCGCCTCCGCCTCCTCCGCCTCCTCCTGCTTTTTCTCACCGCCCCCTCCGGCGGCTTCTGCGGGCCCGGCGCCGGCCCAGAAGGCGCCCCGGCGCCCCAGAAGGCGCCGGTCGTAAGAGATGCGCCCCCAAGAGACGAAAGCGGTTGTGGGTTCAGAGTTTCCGGAAGCCGCCATGCAGGATCGTCGGGCGGAGAAGTGCACGCACGAATCCGAGCATGGCACGGGGAGTGGACGTCCGAGCGATGGCGAGCAGGTCGTCTTCACGCACGTGGCACATGGAAGAACCCCTCGGGCAGAGCCTAGTCTGGGAGAAGTCGGGGGGTGGGGGCAGGCCGTGGGAAGCGCTCCGTGGTGGGAGCGATGCTCTACACGCCGGTCGTTGCAAATATGTCAGAGTGAGGGGGTTGAAGCGAACGGTCATTCACTATCCCTGGGTGCGTGGCTGAAGTGGAATTCCGCGATGCGGATTCTTATTGTTGTTGTTGTGGTTGTTTGTTGTTGGTTGTTGGTTGTTGGTTGTTGTTTGCTGCTTGTTATTTGTTGTTTGTTGTTTGCTGTTTGTTGTTTGTTGTTGTCGTCGTCCCACCCGCGACCCGCCCCGCGACCCACCCCGCGACCCGCCCCGCGACCCACCCCGCGACCCACCCCGCGACCCACCCGCGACCCACCCGCGACACACCCCGCGACCCGCCCGCGACCCACCCCGCGACCCCCCCGGCGACCCACCCGCGACCCACCCGCGACCCACCCCCGCGACCCACCCGCGACCCACCCGACCCACCCGCGACCCATCCGCGACACACCCGCGACCCATCGCGACCCACCCGCGACCCACCCCGCGACCCACCCAAAATTTTCGGCGCTTGCGGCGGGTTTCTTTTGCAGTCGTTCCAGGTGGAGAACCTGCGACCCACCCGCGACCCAAACCGCGCCCGCGACGCACAGCGACCCACCCGCGACGCACCCAAATTGTTCGGCGCCTGCGGCGGGCTTCTTTTGCAGTCGTTCCAAGTGGAGAACCTGCGGCACACCCGCGACCCAAACCGCGTTCAGTGTACAAATCAACATTTTCGGCGCCCGCGGCGGGATGTGGAGGTGGAGAGCCCGCGACCCACCCGCGACCCAAACTACGCTCACTGAACAAGCCCGCGACCCAACCCCCCGGCGCGCGCGCGTGCTCCGCGGAGGAGGGGAGGAGGAGCAGGGCGAGGAGCAGGAGGGGACAGACGACGACGACGACGACGACGACGACGACGGGTACGAGTACGAGTACGAGGACGAAGAGGAGGCCGACGACGGGGGCGAGGAAGCAAAGGAGGGGGGGACGGAGGAGGAGGGGGAGGAGGAGGAGGAGGAGGAGGAGGATGAGGAGGAGAGGAGAGGAGGAGTAGGAAGGAGGAGGAGACGAAGACGAGACGACTACGACGACGACGACGACGACGAATACGACGGAACAGAGCGGGGGGAGGATCGGGTCGGAGGAGGAGGAGGGGGAGGAAGGAGGAGGAGGAGAGGAGGAGGAGGGAGGAGGAGGAGGAGGAGGAGGAGGAGGAAAAAGAGGAAGAGGAGGAGGTGGACGACGACGACGACGACGACGACGACGACGATGAGGACGATGACGCGGAGGAGGAGGAGGAGGAGGAGGAGGAGGAGCAGGAGGAGGAGGAGGAGGGCGCCATCGACAGGGAAGGTGGGGGCCACGAGGTCCGCCGGCTCGAGGCCCGCGTCGCCCGCGCTCGCCCCCTCACTCTTATCCGCATTTGCGGGGTGCTACGTATTCGGTGGCTTTCGCATCCCAAGCTGCTGTGGGCGCCCTCCTGCTTCCAGGATCGAGTGGCCTCACCTGATCCTCTTCCGGGGGCGGGCGGAAACCCAATCTGCTCTCAGCGCCATCCTGCTTCATGTTTCTGCCCACTTCTTCCGACCGGCGCGTGCCCTTCTGCCGCTTCTCTTTCCCTCCGGACCCCCGAGGGCCCGCACTCTGGCAAGCGAGGGCCGCGTTCGGCGGCGCGCCCGGGGGGGGGGGGGGGGGGGCAGAGGTCGCGGGCCTTCTCGGAAGGCTCGGCGGGCGTCTGGCCCTCTGAGGAGCCTTCGAGGCCTGCTCCGACGGCGCAGGGAGCCTCCCTCAGAAGGCCCGAGGGCCTTCCTCGAGGCCTTAAGTCGGACACGCCCCTCTACAGGAGGAATATTCAAAAACATTTGAAAGATCGTCGAGGGACGATTTTTTAGTATTGTTTGAGAATTTGTGGAGTTTTTTGAGGATGTCTAATTTTTCACCCGAAATCCGCCTGTAGGAGGACATGCCCGACCCGATCGAAGCCCGCAGGGCCTCCTCCGAAGCCCCCGCCGCCCTCCGAGCAGGCCTGCCCCCCCCCCGGCGGCGGGCCGCCGACGTGCGGCCTCTCCCCCCAAGGTGGGCACGCTGACCACCTCGTCCCCCTCCTCCTCCTCCTCCTCCTCCTCCTCCTCCTCCTCCTCCTCCTCCTCCTCCTCCTCCTCCTCCTCCCGGGTTTGCCGGGACTCGGGTTCGCCATCGTTTTTTGACGACCGCGCCTCGGATTTTGACGAGGAGGAGTTTCGTGGGGTGTCTGCAGCGGGAGGCCTCGTCAAAATGCAGGCTCGGCCTCGTCATTCTTTTGACGACCTCGTCGGGGATTTCCCAGTCCCCTGTACCCAGGTCTTACGTCCCCCTGAAAGGTGGGCACGCTGACCACCTCGTGGATCTCGCAGGCCTCGGCGAAGCAGCGCGCGGGGCGGGCGGGGCGGACCTCCGGGGAGGAAAACAAGCAGGGGTGCCCAGACCTCCACCCTTTTAAGTCGGGCGTGTCCCTCCACAGGAGGCAGATTCAAGCATGGTCAGAAAACAGCCCAGGGGAGGATTTTTTTTTATATAGATTGGAGCATGTTTTGACTATTTCTCATTGCTCGTCCGAAATCCGCCTGTAGGGGGACACGCCCGACCTAACCACGCTCGCGCTGGACCGAGGTCAGGAGGGATCTGGGTTAAGCTTGGGAGGTGGGTCCTCATCGGCCCCCTCCTCCTCCGTCCTCCTCCTCATCATCACCACTACCATCAATGCCACTACCATCAACGTACCCTCATCTCCGCTGAAATCGTCACACTCTAATGGACCTCGGCTCGAGATCGTGGCAGGGAGGCCAGGCCTATGCCTCCACCCTGCCCTCGTTTTCCCTTGTTCTGGGGCCTCGTGGCAGGCCCTCGCCGCGGCCGCCGCCTCGAAGCCCTCGTCAGAACGCACCCCTGGGAGAGGTCCGGCGAGCAGCGGTATGGGTACGTACTTCTTGGGTTCCCCAGGACCCAGGGCGACGCCCGACCTAACCATGCCTCCACCCTTCCCTCGTTTTCCCTTGTTCTGGGTCTCATGGTAGGCCCTCGCCGCGACCGCCGCCTCGAAGTCCTCGTCGGAACGCACCCCTGGGAGAGGTCCGGGGAGCAGCGGTATGGGTACTCCAGATTTCGTAACAAAAGGGAGGGGGGTCTCATTTCGGGGGGGGTCTCTTCCAGGCTATTTTGGAGGGCCTGAGGGGGTCTGGGGACGACGTTTTGGAGGGTTCTCCTACGGGGGGGGGTCTGAAATGGCTTGTCTTGGAGGGTCCAGACCCCCTCCCTTTTATTACGAACTCTGGAGTACTTCTTGGTTTCCCCAGGACCCAGGGCGGCCTGTGCTTCCACCTCTTCTGCCGGGAGCGGTTCGACAAGATCGACGAGTTCCTGGCCCCGGAGCTGCTGCGGAGCCCGCTGGAGGACTCCGCCCTGACGGCGAAGCTCATGCTGATGCAGATGGGCTCGAAGGAGAAGGTGTCGTCCTTCCTGGCGAAGGCCAGCGCGAGGAGGCCCAGAGGCGGAGAATGTAGCGAGACCGCTGCCCTTGCCTCGTTTTCGCCTTTGGGAGGCCTCCTGGGAGGCCCTCGTCGCCATGGCTAGGTTTGAGTGTGTGTGTGTGTGTTTGGAGGCAAACTAGCTTCAACAAATAAATTCAAAACGATCTGATAATACTCTGATCCAGCTCTGATCCAGCTCGGATTCAACTTTGGGAGGCCTCCTGGGAGGCCCTCGTCGCCATGGCTAGGTTCACGTCAGAATTCTGAGCAGAGCGCACCCCAGGAGAGGCCAGAGCAGCAGCGGCATCGGTACTTCTTCGCCCCCCCCCCCCAGAGATAGAGGATAGGGGGTCAGGAGGAGCACGACAGCGAGGAGCGCTTCGACCCCGAGTCGCCCATGCATCGCCGACGGGGTCCCGATCGCCCACCCCGCCATCGGGGCCTGTCGACGATCAACCGGCGATGTATCGTCGATCCCAGGTCGCTGTATCCCCCCCCCTGAGCTGGTCACCCTTTAACGGTCCCTTCCGAGGATCAGAAGGAGGAGGAGGAGATGGAGGAGGACGAGGACGAGGACGAGGACGAGGAGGAGAAGGAGGAGGAGGAGGAGGAGGAGGAGTAGGAGGAGATGGAGGAGGATGGAGGAGTGAGGGAGGGAGGCGTAGGAGAGGAGGAGGGGAGGAGGGGAGGAGGAAGGAGGAGGAGCAGGGGAGGTAAGGGGGTAAGAGGAGGAGGAGAGGAGTGAGGAGGGAGGATGAGGCGGAGGAGGATGACACATCGCAGGAGTAGGAGGAGGAGGAGGAGGAGGAGGAGGAGGAGGAGCATCAGGATGCCATGAATTTGCTGCGGCTCCGAGGTGTGTGCAGTGTAGTGCAGGAGGATAATCAGGAGGAGGAGGAGGAGGAGGAGCAGGAGGAGGAGGAGGAGGAGGAGAAGGAGGAGGAGGAGGAGGAACAGCAGGAGGAGGAGGAGGAGGAAGAGGAGGAGGAGCAGCAGGAGGAAGAGGAGGAGGAGCAGCAGGGGAAGGAGGAAGAGGAGGGAGGGGGTCGAGGCCTTTCGGAAGGCGACTAATCCGGTCCCGCCGCCCACGCGCGCTCTCGAGCCGCGCGCGGCAGCGCTGCCGACCGCGTGCGCGCCGTCCTCCAGCGCCCACACTGGCGTTTGCCAGGCCCGTTCAACCACTCCTCGGGTGTTGGCGGCGCCTTGGCGACTCCGGTCTTCGCCCCACGTAGGAGTAGCTGGCCAGGTGGGAATGGGATTCCAGCTTCGCCCTGCGCCCCAGACCCGCTTGGCCAGCCACTTCTCGTGGTGGGAGGCCGCTCAACTCTTCTCTCGGCTCTGCTCTCTCGCGCTGCAGGTGGCGGTCTCTGCACCGCTATTTGTGTTGTAGCTGATGGCGTTGGGCCTCTTCTTCGCCTCCGTCTTCCGCTGCAGCTGCTCGCATGCGCTGCTCCCAGGGCTGCAGTTGATGACACCGAGCTCCCTCGATTCGCCTCCCGCCAGTCACGCCGATGCGGTCACTGCTCGAGCCCTCCGCATGGCCCTGCCTGTGCCGTCGTCGCTGTAGCTGATGATGTTGGGCTCGTTCTTCGCCTCCGCGGGGTATTAGTAGCTAGATAAGTCGGAATGGGGCTCCAGCTTCGTCTCCGTCGTTGCGCCTACGTGACGCTGCCATTGCCCGCCATTCTCGATGGCCCACTGCCCGTCCTCTTTAGGCTGCCACTGGCCGTCTCTCTCGCAAGCACGGTCCCGACGAGGATCGAGGAGGAGGTGGAGAAGGAAGAGGAGGAGGAAGAGGAGGAGGAGGAGGAGGAGGCGAGGAGGAGGAGGAGGAGGAGGAGGATGAAGGAGAGGAAGGGGGAGGAGAGAAGGCAGAAGGAGGAGGACGGGGGGGGAGGGGGAGGAGGAGGAGGAAGAACGGAGTAAGGAGGAGGAGGAGGAGGAGGATCGTGAGGGCGAGGATCGAGGAGGAGGACGAGGAGGACGACGACGACGACGGGGAGGAGCGGGAGGAGGAGCCAGCGGGCGAGGGGCCGCGCTCCTCGCCCGCGAGCCCGCTCCTCCTCCTGAAGGGGGGGGTGGCCCTCCTCGCTCTGCGCGGGGCCCAGCTCGAAGAGTATGCTTGGACTGCTCGGCGGCCACGCAGGGCTCGGATGCAACTCCTGGGATGTTTTTTTTTGTCTTTCAAAGCTCGTCGGTCTTTGAGCGCTGGAAGCGCTCGAAGAGTATGCTTGTCACCACCCACCAAACCACCCCAACCCAACCCGAAGGCTCAGTTTTACCCTCGATTTCCAGTGGGGGGGGGTCGGGGCACATCGGCAAAACACATGCGGAACCCTTACCCCCCCCCCCCAACCCGAAATTCGGGTCTTCGGGTTGGGTTGGGGTGGTCTGGTAGGTAGTCAGCTTGGAATGCTCGGCGGCCACGATGATTTTTGTGTCTTTCAAGGTTCGTCGGTCTTTGAGCGCTGGAAGCGGGAAAACGTGAGAAGGCGAGACACGTAGGAAAAGCAGCGGAAATCAGTGATACTACCCTCTTCGGGCTCTCTCGGGCTCCTCCTGAAGGAGGGGGGAGCCCTCCTCGCCCTGGCGCGGCCCAGCTCGAAGTTGTATGCCTGGACTGCTCGGCGGCCACGAAGGGTCAAGTCGGGCTTGTCCCTCTAAAGGAGGAAGTTTCAGAAATAGTAAACAAAAATACTCTGGGGACGATGTTAAAAGTATGTTTAGACGTATTTGGGAATAGTTTCACTATTTTAGGCCCGCCCGGGAAGGGGCCGGCTCTTGCAGCCGGGCGACGGGCTTCTCTTCTTCTTCTTCTTCTTATTATTATTATTATTAGTATCATTATTATTAGTATTATTATCGTTAGTGTTATTGTTATTATTATTATTATTAATATTAATATTAATATTATTATTATTAGTATTATTATTATTAGTATTAGTATTATTATGATTATTATTATTATTATTATTATTATTATTATTATTATTGTTATTATTATTATTTTTATTATTATTATTATTATTATTATTATTATTGGGTATCTTGCATTTTTCGACCAAAATCTGCCTGTAGGGGCACATGCCCGACTTGAACGAAGGGTTCGGATGCAACTCCTGGGAGGTCAATTTCTGATTGCGAAAATCTCACGCCCGGTGCCGCCACCCCTTAAAAAGGATGTCGACGACGACGGCGGCGGCGGCGACGACGACGCTGACGTGGGCCCGAATCCTCAGGGATGCTTTTTGGGGTCTCTTGGGAAGGCTCTCGAAGGGTTCGGATGCAACTCTGGGGAGGTCGAATTCTGATTTTGCCCCGGTCCGAAATCCGGTTTAATCCCGCTTAATCCGTGGCCTAATCCGGCGTAACAGCCCCCCATTGGGGGGTGATTTTCTTTGATTCTTCTGACGAAGACCTCCCACGAGTTGCCTCCTAATGAAGGGTGTGGTTACGAACGGGTGTGGTTTGCGGTCCGCGTCGGTCGGGGCGTGTGGGGCGCCGCCTTTCGGGGAAGCGTAAGCGCCGGAGCTCGGGTTCGCCTACGCTTTTCGACGAGCCCGCCCCGGGTTTTGTCGGCCCACTCTTCGTGGCAGGCCTGCAGCGGGAGCTCGGGTCAAATCTCGGAGTGGGTCTCGCCATTCTCCTGAGAGCCCCGTCTGGCCAGCCCGAGTCCCCCGAGCCCGAGCCTCTCACGTCCCCCCGTCGGGCCGCCTCGGGGGCGCGGCGGGGAGCTCTTTCGAGGTCCGCGCCCGCGCCCCGGGGCCCCGGGGTGCGGGTGGCACGCCGCAGCCTTCGCAGACCACGCCCCTGAAGCGCCGAGCGCGCTCGAGAGGCGGGTGTTTGCGGGCCGCGGGCCTGCGGGGGGGGAGGGCAGAGCGGCGCGTGGCTCCGGAAGGCGCGGCGACGGTCGCCTCTGAGTCTTGCGAGGGCCTCACGGCGGGTGCCGCCGACCCCGAAGGGGGACGACGACGACGACGACGACGACGACGACGACGACGACGACGACGACGACGACGACGACGACGACGACGAGAAGGCGAGGACACGGAAAGCATTGACATCCACGAGGTGCTCTGGCTCGGAGGTTTGGGTTGCGTGCTTGCGGGGTCCGGGGGCCGAGGAAGGCGCTGCTCCAGAGAGCGACACGAGGGACTCTGTTTGTGGCTTCACTTCGTGGGCGTGGAGGACCTCCCCCTCCTCCTCCTCCTCCTCCTCCTCCTCCTCCTCCTCCTCCTCCTCCTCCTCCTCCTCCTCACTCTCCTCCTCCTCCTCCTCCCCCTCCTCCTCCCCCTCCCCTCCCTCCCTCCTCCTCCTACAGCCCCTCCCCACCTCTCCTCCTCCTCCTCCTCCTCCTCCGTCCTCTCCTCCTCCTCAACTCACACCTCCTCCTCCTCCTTCCACTTCGCACCGCGATGGGGGCCGATTCCGTTTTACACTCCTCCTCTCCTCCTCCCCTCCTCCTCCTCCTCCTCCTCCTCCTCCTCCTCCTCCTCCTCCTCCTCCATTCCTTTTCCTTATAGGGGACCAGCCCGCTGTCACGGAGCTTACGAATCCATCGCGAAATGCGGGCGTGTTGTTTCAGCAAAGGTGGGCAGTGGGGTCGTCGAGCCTCCTCGGCCGCCCTGGCTGCAGCGTGGTCGCCACGGCGAACTGCGCAGCTGTTCCTGCTAAACTGTTGCACGTGAGTGAACGTCCGGCACGTATTCGCCTGCGGCCGCCTTCATCACAGCGTCCTGCGACGTGCAATGCCCTGCTTGAGACAGAGTGGTGCTGCCGGTGACGATGCTGCTCCCTCCTCCCTCCTCCCCCATCATCACTCCTCTTCACTCCTCCCTCTCTCTCCTCGTCTCCCCCCCCCGCCCGCCCATCGCTTGTGCCACCTGCCTCTCTCTCTCTCTCTCTCTTTCTCTCCCTTTTCCCCCTCCCTCTTTCCAGGAGGTGCGCGCAGGGCTGGGCACCTCCCCCGCGTGCCCTAACTTGAACTTCAGGCTGGAGGGGAGAGCAGGGGGGTGGGGATGGAAGGAGGAGGCACTGGGGAGGAGGAGGAGGAGAAGGAGGAGGAGGAGGGGGGGGGGACTGGGCAGGGCGGATCCGAGAGGCCCTCGAGGTGCTGGGCTGGAAGGGAGGGGGCGCCCAGGCCCGCCCCGAGCCCGCCCGGAGCCCGGCCGCCCCCCCGGGAGGCGCCGAGCCCCCCCGAGAAGATCGCCATCGACAACTCCATCCAGCTGCTGGTGGAGCTGGGCGCCTTCACGGGGGCCGAGCAGCTGACGGCGCTGGGCGAGCACCTCACCAGGTCGCCCCTCGAGGGGGCCCCGCGCGGGCCCTGCCCCGTATGCCCTACAGTCGGGGCCCTGAAGAAGGAACCTCCAGCAGCGTCCTCGTCCTCCTCCTCCTCCTCCTCCTCCTGCTCCTCCACCTCCTCCCCTACCTGATCACTCTCTCCTCCTCCTCCCCCTCCGTTCCTCCTCCTCCTCCTCCTCCTCTCCTCCTCCTCTCCTCCTCCTCCTCCTCTGCCTCCTCCCCTCCTCTGCTCTGCCTCCTCACCCTTTACGGTGCTGCCTCCTCGGGTTTTTCCTTATTCGGTCCGGTTTCCCTATATTTTCCGGAGGTTTCCCACGGAACATCGGAGTTTCATATATGGGAAAAAGGGGCCTCGTTCCTTATTTATCGTTCCTTAGGTCAACGCCCCGACTGTACCCCCCCACGATTTCTGAGGGGGAGGGCGGGGCTCACTTCCCTCGGGGGCTCCCTAGCGGAGTGAGCCCCACCCTTCCATGCAGAAAACGTGGGGGGTAGGGGCAGGGTTCGCATGTGGCCCCCTACCATCCCCCCGCGGCTCGCGAAGACGGTGCTCTGGTCCATCCTGCTCGGCTGCCTCGACGACGCCCTGTGCGTGGTCAGCGCCGCGGGCGGCTTCGTGCGCGACCCCTTCCGCACGGTGGGCATGTCCCACGACGACGCGCGGGAGCTGAAGCGGAAGCTGGCCGCCCCGCACAACTCAGACCACGCGTGCCTCCTCAAGGCGGTGACTGGCTACCAGGACGCCAGCAACCAGCAGGGCTTCTGCGACCAGTGGAAGCTCGCGATCCAGACCATGCGGCAGATCCGCGACCAGCAGGCCAAGCTCTACACCGAGCTGCACGAGAACAAGTCGGAGACCTTCGCGAACCGCAACCGGGGCAACTTCCGGCTGCTGGTGGCCGTGCTGTGCGCGGGCATCTTCCCGAACATCGCTCGGCGGCGCGGCACCTCGGACTTCTACGAGGCGCAGGAGGGCAAGGTCCGGCGCGTGCCAGAGGGGGGGGGCGCCTGGCAGTCTCCGCGCGTGGCCGGAGAGGAGGCGGGAGGAGGGGGAGGGGGAGCAAGCCAGGTGCGCTCGCGTCGTACCTGACGTCACTACCCCTCCCTCCCATCACTTGACCTGGCGTAGATCTCCTCTCTATTCGCACAGTCGGATGTCGTTCGTAGCAGGGCAGAGCATTACATGGCACAGCATGGTGTTGAAGATCAACGCGCAGCCTGACATAGCATGGCGTGGCGACGCCCCAAAGTGTGGGGGGTTCTGCGGCCCAAGAAATCAACGAATTGACACCGAATGTGTAATCACTTCCGATGGTTTTTTCGGGGAGCATTTTCTATATTTTGGAGCCTGTTTGGCAGGACCGAAAACCATGCCGTGGTATGGCGTTGAAAATAATGACGCCAGCGCTGCAGCGACGCACGATTCGGAACGAGCGGAAGCGCGGAAATGAGACCAGCGCTGCAGCGGGAACACGATTGGGAACGAGCGGTAGCCCGAAAATGAGGCCGGCGCGTCAGCGAGAGCAGCAGTTTACAAAACAAACCCAAGCGAAAACCCGTTTCCCGGGCATCGTGTGCATAAAAAACAAGTACGCGGAGGGGGGCCGACCATTTCCCGGACGCCGCCAGGGGAGAGAGGATTTTTTCCGCGATTCTATTTCTTCCTTCACGGATGAATCGATTGCTCTAGATGAAGCGGTCGAGGCTGCGAGGAAGCTCGCGCTTGACTTAGGCTTCGAGAAAGAAAGAGGAAAGTACTATTCATATTGTTTGACTGTAAAGGCGAGGGCGGCTCCTCCCTCGTTGCGACGTTCCCTGGTGGGTCCTCAGGGCGTCGCAGCAAGCATAGTGCGTGTGCCGGAGGGGATTGCCTGGCAGTCCCCTCGGGCTTCGCTTGGTGGGGGGGGAGGCGATAGATGGGAGGGGGGCGGGGAGGGGGACAGGTGCGCTTCTCGGGCCCTGACAGCCCACTTTGGGGCCCCCTTTAGGGCCCCTTTCGGAGCCCTAGAGGGCCCCTTTTCTGGAACCCTCGCTGCCCCCCAAGTTATCGCCCCCCCAGTGCGCGACGCCCAGTCCCCGCGCTTGGCTGGAGAGGGGGCGGGAGGACGAGGGCGGCGGTGGGAGAGGCGAGGACGGGGGAGGGATTGGCCCTCCGTCCCTCCTCCGTCGGCGCCTGGTAGCCCCCGTGCGTGACTGGAGAGGAGGCGGGTGGAAGAGAGGGGGGAGGGCTCAGCATCGCTCGGACACGTGTCTTCTCTTCGGCGAGGAGCATCGAGGAGCATCTTGGGTCAGCTCGCCAAAGACAGCGCACGAAACCGAACAAAAAAATGCACGGGGGAGCCAGCATCGGGGTGATGGCAAGGGATGGGGAAGCGAGGGCGGGGGAAGGACGGGCTCTCTCGCATTCCTCTTCCTTCCTCGCTTGTAATTTTGTCTCTCGTATCTGTCTGCTGTTGCTTTATGCATCTAGCAGGTATGAGAGCGCCAGTTGAGTTGAGGTCCGCGGACTGCCATGCCCATCGTTCGACGACGACGACGACGACGACCTCCTTCCTCGTTGCGAAATTCCCCGGTGGGTCCTCAGGGCGTCGCAGCAAGCATATTGCTATTTTTTAAAAGCTGGTAAGATGTATCAGGCGCAACCCATGTTACTCACGAGGTGCCGATTTGTCTTGATGCCCCCGGAGCTCGATTCGATTCGATTATTTTTCCCTCGTTCTCCTGTCCGCAGTGCAGTGCGGGCGTCTCTTGTGTCCAGAGGATCATGTGTATATATATATATATATACACACACCAAAACCTGTTACAGCCAACGCAGATTTCTCGGAGCGGCGCTGGGCATCCCTGGCGGCGCCTACGGCGCCGCCCCTGGAGCGTTCCGCGCTCCAGGGGGAGGGCCCTGCGCAGATCCGAAAAGTCCGCGTGGACCTCTGAAAGTTTGTACATCGTCCCGCTTTTTGATCCTCCACTGCTCCCCAGAGGTCGTCGTCGTCGTGTTTTGCCCCCCCCCCCCCCCCCCCCCCCCCCACCCCGAGGTCGAGTGCAAGCCGCACGGGTCCTCGGCCTACCAGCCGGAGGAGCCCGACGAGTGGGTGTTCTTCCAGGAGACCCGCCGCGCGAGAGGCTGAGCCCCCACCCCCCCCGACTGGCGGAGGGGAACGAAGCGGCACCGCCACCAGGCAGGGTCGATCGATATCGATCGATATCGATTCGATATCGATCCGATCGATCGATCCGAGGTTCGACCCGATTCGATATCGAACCGATCGATCCGATTCGGGTCCGTTTCGATCGATCGATGCGATCCGATCCGATTTGGGGTGCCACCCCCACAGGGGTCCACCTCGACCCTGTGGATCCGATCTGGCATCGATTCTGGTTGGCCCGGTTCCGACGATGCGGTGCGGCCCGATGTCTTCATGGCGCTGTTGTGCATCCTCGTGCTTCCTGGCCCCCACCAGAGGAGAGAAAGGAAGCGGCACCAGCACCCACCAGGGTTAGTAAAGCATGGAAGCTTCAGCTCGACTTGGATTTCATGTGTATATATATACACACGCAAGACTGCATTGGCGCTTCGTGCCATGCACCTTGTTCCTTGTAGTTGTGGATGCTCTATTGAGAACCTCGGGAACCTACATGGTCCTGGTCTTTTCGCAATGTCGCTTGGAATCCGCGCTCGAGGCCGAAGGGCAGCAGGAATGGTCAAGAGAGCTCGCGGGCGGGCCCATAAGAGGCGGAAGACAGGCCGGAGAGCACCCAGAGAGGCGAAGATGTGTCAAAAACTTTGGGAAAACGCATGTTTTCGGCATGGACGCCTTGTCGCTGCCGATCTGGATTGGAAGCCTGAAGATGGCGCCGTGATGGGGGCGGCCCAAGACGGGTCCAAAGGCGCCGGGAGGAGCCAAAATGTGTCTCGCGTTTTCGCTTCCAATCGGCTCTTAAGGCCTCGAGAGGGCCCCAAAACGGGCCCCAGAGAGGCCCAAGGCCGGCCCAAGAGGGCCCGGAGAGGCAAGCATCGTTTTAAACATTTTGGGTAAGTCAACCTTCGTGGCCTGCTTGCCTTTTCGCCTTTGATGGGCCCTTGAAGCCTAAGATGGCTCGTAGATGATTCGAGAGAGCTCCAAGACGGGCCCAGGAGATGCCCAAGGCTGGCCGAAGCATGCCCAGTTCGGCCAAAATCGCTCAAACGTCATAAGAAATGTAGTGTTTTTAGCTTTCTCGCCTTTTCGCTGACTATCGGTGCGTGAGGCGTCAAGATGGTTCCAAGATGGCCCAAATGAGGCCCAAGCGAGCCCCAGAGAGACCCAAGGCTGGCCCAAGAGGGCCCGGAGAGTCGAAAATCAGCGAACATTCATTGGAAAATCAATGTTTTTGGCCTTCTCGACTTTTCGCTTCCGATCGGCTCTTGAGGCTTCAAGATAGCACCAGGATGGCTGGAAATGAACCCCAAAACGATGCCCAAAGAGACCCAAGGCTGGCCCAAGAGGGCCCAGAGAGTCGAAAATCAGCGAACATTCATTGGAAAGTTGATGTTTTTGGCCTTCTCGCTTTTTCGCTTCCCATCGGCTCTGGAGGCGCGTCAAGATGGCCCCAGGATGGCCCCAGAGAGGCCCAAGACGAGCCCCAGAGAGGCCCAAGGCTGGCCCAAGAGGGCCCGGAGAGTGGAACATCAGTGAAAATCGATTGGGAAATCAATGTTTTTGGCTTTCTCGGCTTTTCGCTTCCGATCGGCTCTTGAGCCTTCAAGATAGCACCAGGATGTCTTGAAATGAGCACCAGGATAGCACCTCCTCCTCCTGCTCCTGCTCCTCCTCCTCCTCCTCCTCCTCCTCCTCCTCCTCCTCCTCCTCCTCCTCCTCCTCCTCCTCCTCCTCCTCCTCCTCCTCCTCCTCCCTCCCTCCCCCCCTCCTCCTCCGCCCTTCCCCCTTCTCCTCCCCCCTTCAGTTTCTGGGGGGAGGGGGGAGCCAGGGAGCTCGGGAGCAGGGCGAACGCAAAGGCGGAGCGTCGGGTCCCCACGAAGGAGCTGTCGCAGATGGAGAGCATGTTCAAACTGAAGCTCGTCACGCCCGTGCCCTCCCTGGCGCTCCTGCTGCTTGGAGGTTGTTGGCGTGGTGGGGGGACGGGGGATCAGTCCTTGAGGCTGAGGTGTTGGTTTTCGTTGCGCCTGATTTTGGTGGGTTCGCAATGCCGAGCCGAAAGAAAGACAGAGGAGGAGGAAGAGGAGGAGGAGGAGGAGGCGGAGGAGGAGGAGGAGGAGGAGAAGGAAAGGGCGAAGACGATGGAGGAGGAGGAGGAGAAGGAGGAGGAGGAGGAGGAGGGCGGATTTGTTTGACGTCCTACATTGCTTCCGTTTTGCTGATTTGGGAGGCTGGCGAATGCAGTCTGAGTGGATGTTCTTGGGATGGTTGGGCCACCCCGCTCAAAGGTCGGGGCACCGTCTGGCCATCTCGGGAGGGGGAGGGCGTAGAGGAAAAGCGGGAGGAGGAGGAGGAGGAGGAGGAGGAGCAGGAGGAGGAGGAGGAGCAGGAGGAGGCGGAGGAGGAGAAAGAGAATCGCAGGTGAGGGGCAGTTGACCATCGACGAGAGCAAGGGCAAGGGCGGCAAGGGAGGCGGCCCCATGGTGACTCTGCTGAACGGCTGGGTGAAGTTCAGTACAAACGCGCAGGTCGCGCAGGACGGGGGGAGCGGAAGCCCGGAGAGGAGGGAGGAGGGATCATGAGGAGTTGGGAGGGGGGTGAGGAGCAGGGAGGGAGGATGAGGGGCAGGGCGGGGTTATGAGGAGGAAGGCGAGGAGGAATGCCAGCTTAGACCGACGAGGCAGCGGTGTCTCGCTGCTGTCCACATCCCGAAGTCGCCAAGGCCAGAGTCGTCCAAACCATAGCGTCACTGTTCGCAATCAGTTGCCAAGTTGAGCCCCTCCTGGTTGTCCTCCCCTCCGCCTCCTCTACTTACTCTTTTCTTCGTATAAGTCTTCTTATGTGCATGAGTATAAGTTAGAATCGTAATGTTTCATATGACGAGTTTCATCATTATTATTAGTAGTATTATTTCCATTCTGATTCGTATTCGTAGTAGTGTTAGTCGTATCGCTATTACTATCATTCGTATGTTTTTCTTCTTCGTATGATGAATGGTATTATTATCCTCCTCCTCCTGCTTCTCAGTATCTTACTCCCCATGCTGCTGCTCCTGCTCCTCCCGCTTTTTCCTCATCCCCATCACCTTCCATCAGCATCATCATCAGCAGCAGCAGCATCATCATCATGAGCAAAATGATCATCACGATCACCACCAGCATGTGGCAGCAGCAGAGCACACTGGACACTTTTCCCTTGAGCCAAAGTACCGTCCACGGGTGCAAACATGCGTACAACACTAAACGCTAAACCTGAACGCAACGGATAGAGAAAATTACTGATCAGTTACACTGGTCAGACTTTCTAGCAGGTTTAGCACCCCCAGCTGTCGGCCTCTGTGGCCTGCAGCTGTCTGGTCAGGATCTGCCTGACCCCCCTGTGGAGAATAAGGAAAAGTGATTCTACTGGAAGACAGACAGACGATTGGAATAGGGAGAGAGGAAGGGAGGAGGAGGAGGAGGACCACCGTCACCACCACCACCAGGACCTGGAGTCTGACTGCGGAGGTCTTCCCAGGTGATCATGTCCAACTCCTTCCTGGACGCTGCCTGGGTCCTACTTTTAAGCTCGGGCTGTTCTCGTCGACGCTCCAACTCCCCGGGCTCATCGACTAGAACCAGACGACCGCTGACCATTAGGTCGAAGAGTGCGGCGTTGCATTTCGACACGTCGTCCTTGGTCAACGCGTCGACCGGCATCCTCCCGTGAGGGACCCATCGTACCCGACCCTGGGCCCTCTCAAGGGCCTCGCTGATAATGGCCAGGTCGATTGCCGTTCTTCGGTCCCGGGCCCCTGCGTTCCCCTCCTTGAGCATCGTGTCGTAAATAGATTTAGCATCTACTACATGTACCTGCTCTTCCCGGGCGCCCAACCGACAGTCACGCCGGAGCACTGCCGTAAATGGCCCAGAGCCCCGGTGGTAGTCCTGGACGTCCACGTCTCTAAACATCACGTCTCGGTACATGACTTGTAGATACTCTACTTCTGCTACTGCGGAGGAAAGAGCCTGGGTTTCACCGGCCAAGGTCGACGGAACCTTTCTGCGCAACTTGGAGCTTCTCCATCCTAAGATGGATGCCTTGACCGATCGGTTCGCCAGCACGCTCTTGTCCGCTGCCAGGACCATCCACGCTCCCTGGGTAGGGTCTTCTGGAAGGCCCTTGTCATCTGTCATGCTCTCGGCTGCACCTACACCGCCGGCGTCGGAGAAAGACATAAATGACATGTTTTCAGGATCCAATTTCCAGACAGTGATGCCCCTCGAGGCCGTAGTCCTCAAGTGCTTGACGAGCTTATTTGCCAGGGAAACGTCGCCGGTAGTCGGAGCCTTAAGGCGACTCGCCAGTATACTGGCGACCCCTGCCGCCTCAGGGCGGCTCTCTCTACCCACCCAGTTGAATTTGTATACAAGTGAGCGTAAAGCCTTGAACTCGGAAGAGTCCAGGGGCGAGTCCTTCTTTGTAAGGCGGCCTCGGGCAAGAGGAAGTGGTCGAATTTCCTCCAAGATATATTTTTCCCGGAAAGGGCTGGGGCCCAGGGTTCTCTTTTAGTTGGTAAACCTAATCCCCCGGTGCCAACTTGAAGGAGGCCGGCGGATTTTTTCCCTGATAAATATCGAGGTCGAAGGAGGCCGGCGGATTAAAATTTGAGGATGTCTCGAGCGAAACGCTTGTTTTTGAAATCCCGATCGATAAATCACAGGGTGCGGGCCACTTTTTCGTGTGTTGAGGATGTCTCGAGCGAAACGCTTGCTCCGCAGAGTTTGCCGAGGATGTCTCGAGCGAAACGCTTGTTTTGCAGAGCCGACCGCGACGGAAAAGCGCCCCGCGCGAAGGAATTTCGATGATGTCTCGACTAATTCGTTTGTTGTTGTACGATTTCCTGGAATTTTGGCAGGATGTCTCGAGCGAAATGCACGACCCCACCCTAGCACGACCATACCCCAGCACGACCACACCCCAGCACGACCAGACCCCAGCACGACCCCACCCCAGCACGACCCCACCCCAGCACGACCATACCCCAGCACGACCACACCCCAGCACGACCCCAGCACGACCCCCCAGCACACACCCCAGCAAGACACACCCCAGCACGACCACACCCCAGCACGACCACACCAGCACGACCACACCCCAGCACGACCACGCCCCAGCACGACCACACCCCAGCACGACCACACCCCAGCACGACCACACCCCAGCACGACCACACCCCAGCACGACCACACCCCAGCATCGACACAGGGTGCGGAGCACCCCAGCACGAACCCACCCCAGCACGACCCCACCCCAGCACGACCCCACCCCAGCACGACCACGCCCCAGCACGACCACACCCCAGCACGACCACACCCCAGCACGACCACTCCCCAGCACGACCCCACCCCAGCACGACCCCACCCTAGCACGACCACACCCCAGCACGACCACACCCCAGCACGACCCCACCCCAGCACGACCACACCCCAGCACGACCCCACCCCAGCAAGACCACACCCCAGCACGACCACACCCCAGCACGACCTTACCACAGCACGACCACACCCCAGCACGACCACGCCCCAGCACGACCACGCCCCAGCACGACCACGCCCCAGCACGACCACGCCCCAGCACGCACGACCACCCCCCCAGCACGACCACACCCCAGCACGACCACCCCCAGCACGACCACCCCCAGCACGACCACGCACCACTCCCACAGCACGACCACTTGCACTCCCCAGCACGACCACACCGCCTTGGTTGAGTGGTTGCCTGTCGTCGTGGAATGTTTCGTGGGGTGTCTCGTGGAATGTTTCGCGGGGTGTCTCGTGAAATGTTTCGTGAGGTGTCTCGTGGAATGTTTCGTGAGGTGTCTCGTGGGCTGTTTCGTGAGGTGTCTCGTGGGATGTTTCGTGAGGTGTTGCCCAGTTGGGTATCATGAAAACGTGTCCATGCTCCACATGTCTATATCCCTTTCCGGGTTCGTGGGTCCATCATGTTCTTGATCGATGACAGCACGCCGAGCATTCAGAGAAATCCGGCGCCCCGCATACTCAACAGGTCCTGCCTGCAGGTCACGATATTTTCCAAACTTGAATCTGGATTCGAGCAAACCTCTAAGCCACAAGCGTGACTCTTCCGACGAACTCCCGATAAAGAAGTCATCGACCTCTAGCAACATCATGTTCAACACCTCCCCCTTTGGACCGTACCGGATCCACCAACAAGGCTCCAATAAACATCGAGTAAACCCATGTTTCTCCAGAAAGTTAACGACTGTTTTTCTCCAGGCAACAGGAGCGTCGTCTAATCCATAGACGTTCACCTTCAAGAGTATGAGGCTGCCCCTGGGTATGTCTATACCGTCGCAGGGCTCGACATATATATCGCCCTGAGGACGTGATATTGGATCTGACTGGCAGAACGCGTTTTTAACGTCTGCGATGTCGGCCAGGAGGGAGAGATTCATGATGATCTGTATAAACATCATGATGCTGCTGGTCTGAGGGGTGGGGGAGTAGACCTGGAGAGAACCTGAATCCGGGTCTCTATGTCCATGCACGCACCAGCGTGATTTGGCGTCCGGGTTAGCGAATGTCCCCTCCACCGGTTTCCATCGACGAACCATCCGACTCGAGATGATGCGCTCGGGCTGTGCCTTGCGCACCGCATCCGCCTTCTTGGGCGAGATGATTTCGACGGCTCCGGTCGCCATCATCGCGTCCCACTCCTTCTTATCAGAAATGGCGAACTTGGCACGTTCGGAGGGGTTCAAATTCTTCAAAGTGACCTCTCCCCCCCTGCTGGCCACAAACGTGCCCTCCCCCTTGTCTCCGAGGCCTGACTCGTACTCCTGAACTGGCCGGGCCAGGAGACCACCACCGACACCACCACCGGGGAAGAGGAAGAAATCCTCGGTCCTTCCTCCGTCCTCTTCCTCCCAGCCCGTCGGGGCTGACGGCGAGCGGCTCCGCTCCCGCCTGCCCTCGATCTCCCGCACCCGGTCGGCGACGGGCACCTGGGGCTCGTGGCCCAAGATGACCGCTGGCCTCGAGGCGGGAGTCGGGGGCTCCTCGGTGCGAGCACGCTTGACCTCGGGGGGTGAGCTTGACGCCCTCGCCTCGGCAGTGCGTGACCGGATGCAATGAGGGACGTCGTTTGGTTGGGAAAGACGAGTGCGAGCGGAGGAGGGAGCGGGAGAGGGAGGAGGAGGAGCGGGAGAAACGAGCGGAGAAGCTTCCCTCACCCCGCTCGGGTGTTCCTCGGGCTCACCGGACACTTCCCTGGACATCTCGGGTGATGCTTGGGGAGGTGTGCTTTGAGCCTCCTCTGGCACGGATGGCAAACGTGTCCGCTCGCTCCCAGGCTGAACTGAGACGGAGCCGGCCTCCGAGGGAGCTCGGGATCTCCAACCTGGCCTGGGGTTCCTGGGGCCGG